TCAGATCAAAGCGATTTGAAGGCCTGTGGATATAATGTAGGCATGGACATTCGGTGGATCAGTCCCCAAACGCTTGAAAAGCAAGGGTATATAATAATCGTTTTGATTTATTCTTTCTTCATTTTTAATTGTGAGCTCTCACACTTTCAATTAGCGTCCGATTCCTATGACATGTAGACATTTCTTCTTACTGTGTTAATTAAGTATAACTCACTTGAAATGGCCTCCTTAGGTATTCTGGATCAGGGCTGAATTCCGCCAGGGTCCAGTTGTGTGCTGGGATGTTGGTCACTGAGTACACGGGATTGCCTCTCAGAGTACCCTCCTACAAATGGATTAAGGAATATCTGTTTTATGTGCATGAGAAAATTCTTTTTACACATTTATGAATATTTGATTCCAGATGAACAATGTTGCATATAAATATGTTTTACTTGTAGATACACATTCAGCTTTCCACTAGTGTTTGGACGAGTTTCTGCCTTGTAGTAAAAACGTATGCAGTACGCTTGTGCAGGATTGAAAGGTCTTGACGTAATACGCGTAACATATCGACTTCCGTATCTGTATGAACTCAAAGCATGACCTACATCAAAAAATGAAATCAATAAACATGATTGTACATGTACATGTTTCGAGTCTGGAATACTTTTAAGAAGTAAATCTGCAGTACATATACATGTTTCGAGTCTGGAATACTTTTAAGAAGTAAATCTGCAGTTAAAAATGAAATATATGAGCATGGAGAACACTCAAACATAGAACACAAGTTTTAACCAGTCTGTATGAATCGATAAACTTGTAACGTCTCACCCATTTTGGAGCCCAGTGTGTGATCTGGGTGAGTATTTTCCAGCATCCAATCATAATTGTCGTCTCGGTTCTGGGTAAAGTTACACATCTGACTTCCGTCCTCAAAGTCGCAGTGGGTCAAATTGAACGTGTACAGATTTTGTGCAACTTGAATTGGATTAAAATATATTTAAAACTTTTATATTATGAGAAGTGATAAATTAAAAATACATCTATTTGTTTTCGAACTCACCATTTGCACCAATATCGCCACAGTTAAGCTCAATGGAGTTGTCCAGTTGTGCTTTCAGGGTTTGTACCAGTGTCGCCATCTCCTCGGCCTTCTGGCGGACGGCTGCGTACGTGTTCTGGAAGCCGTGCATTGCCAGACATTGCTGCTCGTTAGCCAGAGAAGCGGACAGACAACAGATGCCTACTAGTAAGGCCAAAATGTAACGCATTGCGAGTCTGCGAGTTTCACACAATGTTTTGGAAGCCGGTTGCCTTCTTGGGGGACAATATTGATATGAAACGCAGTTATCCAATTTTAAAATGTAATATTAAATCACTTCAAAATTCTGATAGCATGTACCCTTCTAGAGTCTTTGAAATGGCCAGATATTGGTTATTTGAAGCATCATAATTATCTTTTGGAGTGATTCATATCTTTTTCTTGACAGATGCGGATTACAACTCCTCTTGGCTATCACTAAGATATTGTGTTGTCCGGAAAGTAGGGAAGACCATAAGGTGATCTATTCAAAGGACTTGGGGCTTTTATCCTACATTTTCTGTTTACATTATCTTCATAAATCTTCCTTACCTGATAAGATATGCACTTAATTAATCTAAAAGCAGGTTCTATACAAAATTAACCAATCGATCGTCCCTGTGTTTGTATTGCTGTAAACTTTTGATTTTAAAATAATTATAATTTATATGTGGCCAATATTTTCTCGTATAGTTTTAAAGTACTATGAATTTTTCTTCTTTTCGCTACATTTTTTATTAAATCGGTTGAACCATATCTAATGTGTAAATAGCTAATGTTTGTACACAAACAGAAAAACAAACAAACAAAACTATGGTATCAATTTTTTTTTATTCAAATGCTGAAAACAATCAGAACATTTCATATAAGTGACTCGTGAACTAATAAAATTATTCGTTATCAATACATGTAAAGGAAAGGGTATACATATTATATATATTATATCATCTCAATGTACATGCATATGTTATAATGGATATCAAACAGTTAAAACGATATTCAAACTGTTCATGCATATAAAATAGAAATATAAATACATGTATATATATGGAAGATAATTTCGTCATAAATTAACACTGTTAGAATTTTTAAAATAATAAAACAATGTTCCGGAAACTATAATAAGAGGGGAAAGTCTCGCTATGAATGGGGAAGGCTGGCTATAAAGTGAGCCTTCCCCCCGGAAGAACGGCTATATAGTGAAACTTCCTTGGGGGAAGTCTCACTATATATCCATTCTTCCGGGGGGAAGACTCACTATATAGTGAGCCTTCCGGGGGAAGCCTCACTATGGGGGAAGTCTCACTATACGACACCGGTCTCCACGTCACACAGTGGGATTCGAACCCGCGACGTAAGGATTGACGTATTTGACGTATCCAGGGCGTATTTGATTTGTCAACTCTAGTGTCGAGTCGGGTTGATATTGAGCATGCGCACAAACGACCACAGCCTCTTTTTAATCAAACGGCAAGAACACAACTCGAGTGCATTGAAAATTTCTAGACATTGTTTTGTCTATATTTTATTGATATTTTTTTTTTGAAAGCAAGGAAAAGGACGATATTAGGGAAAACGACGAATATCTAATAGATATATATATAATATTAGGGAAAACGACAAATATCTAATAGATTGTTTATTTTCTTCTGCCTAAATCCACGAATAACAGATGTAATGTGGCAAAAATTGGTAAAATTGGTAAATTTGTGACTGAATCAATATATTTTATGCCCCCTCTTTTGGAGTATTAGCCAATATCCTTATTTACTGATTAAAATGATAATTTATTCCTAAAATCTAAACCAAACATCTGCCTCGCCTCACTTTCCCTCCCTTGTCAATTTTGGCAACCATCTTTGTTCTTGTTCACTCTTGTAAAATTGGAGAGTATGTTCTTGACCTAATTATACAACACGCGCGTCGTGTTCGAGGTGATTGATTCAGAAATCCGACTCCAGAGTTACAGCTCGTGTTTAAATCAAATACGCCCTAGAGCAGACGCTCTATCCAATGCGCCACGAGGGCGACGATTGGCTAACTAGTATGAAAAATTGATCTTAAGATGGAAAGTAAGATGATTAGGCGTTTGGAGGGTACTAATGAATTCGGGTAAATATAGCACACTTAAATCATGACTGTAAGCCTAGTTCTATTTATCGGCCTCGGACCTGCCTTGAGAACTAAAATGAGCAAGGACACCGCAAAGCAGCAGAACATCCACTCGCAAAAGCTTATCAATATGAATGAGTCCCGATGTAAATTAAGTGACTTCCGTTTCGCACAATGTCAAACTAACACACACGCACGCATAACCGCGTCACTATATCCTAAATTAGACTATAAACTAAATTGAAATCTATATATTTCTAAATTTTGTAAAACCATGCAGCTGAAGTTTTCAAACATTTCATGAGACTGATGAATTAATTCAGCATTCATTTGCTTGTATTTCCCTCATAAATGATATCATCTCCATGCATAAGCCATTGTCTTCGGACACTATTCAAAATAGACTGGGCTGTTGTTCATTACTATTCACGTATGTCTACTGTACAGTAGGCTATACAAAAGGATAAACAAAATCTGGAAAAAAAAGGGGGGTATTGATCACATCTTTTTCCTGCTTTATTTTCAGATTATTTTGAAACTTGGCAAATAAAAGCAAACTTGTTTAATTTTGAGAGACTTAATATTTTCATGCTTTGGCACTTGAAATACCGGTATCTACGAGGGTTGTCCCGTAAAATCGTGGACAAAGCGTTTTTCTCGAAAAGTAATAGGCGCACTTAGCTGTAAATTTCAGTAAATGTTTATTTATCATATTTAAGTGCATGATAATTTTTTTGACAAAATATAGGCAAAAATAAAGATTTCATTATGCTTGAATGTGCAGGAGGTATTGTCCTACGGCGCACGGTCAAAAAACCAAGGTTTTATTAAAGAATACACAAGTTTGAATTCAAATGAAAGTTTTAAATACATAAGATTTGGATTATTATCCTAATTCAATTCCACAATCAATTTTGTAGTCTTTGTAAAAATTTTAAGGCAGTTGCTTAATTTCTGGTAGTTTCTCGAGCATTCGAAATGGGAAAGTGGTAAACACAACACACGAAAAATGGCGACGTTTTATGACGTTACGGCGCACGAAAACAGTTCAGTTTTATTTCGATGTTGTAAATTGACACCTTTAGAGACTTGAAATGACAATAGAAGAAAAAAGATTATAAAAATATCACCATATCTTAAGTATACAAATGAAATAGTTTTCTTAGCGAAGTTTTTTTGATCGAGTCCCTGGGGAGTACAAAACATACGGACAAACTCCGAATGTAATAGCAAAAGACGCTGTCACAGTAGACCGTCGATATGAGATTTTCTATTAGTTGAATGATGGTGAGAATTTTGTCCTTAAATTACTAATAAATCTTCAGAAGATCGCATGAGGGTGCCAACTGGTTCTTCGGTTGTTTATGGAGACTAAAGAATGTGTATCAATGAAATTCCTAAATTTACGTCGGACTCATCCAACTTCATTTTCAGCAAAGATAAAACATGTCACGCTGTTTTAGACACTTTGACGTTTTATTACACACTTAGTAATAAATACAGGTTTTTTGCATATGCGATATGGCTGACGTCACAATAGCCGTATCAATCCTGCAGGGCTGATATGGATTTGCGGGGCTGATATCCGTATCAGCCCAGCAAATCCATATCAGCCCTGCAGGGCTTATACGGCTATTGTGACGTCAATATCACACCCTTAGTAAATAAAACCACAATAACAGTACTTGTACTCATACACAATTTTTGATGGGTTCATATTCTCTTAATTTTAACTTTTTGAAATTAAAGTTAATCTTAATTTACAAATACATGTATATACTATAGAATATTTTCAAATTACGGATCAAGTGCATTGAAATAGAAATAGAAACAAACCCAAATCTTATGAGACATTAGACTATGTACATGTATGTAAGAAGTCCATGCATGATTATTTACTTATTTTCTTCTCAACTGTATTTTATTACTAAGTATGTAATAAATATAATAAAACATACCCTTTTCCACATCACATCCTGTATCAGCCCTCGACCAATATCAGCCCTCGGGCCTTCGGCCCTCTGGCTGATACAGTGGTCGGAACGTTATTGTTGACAAACCAATCGTGTAGAATCGTTCGTGTATCGTGAGTGATCGTTCGTGTAACGTGCAAGATCGTTCGTGTATCAGACTCAATCGTGTGCGTTTTTAATCGTGCGAGATCGTGCGTTTCGAATCGTGTAAATTTCGTTTTGTAAGTTTTTATCGGAATGTTATTTGTAAAATAAGCATTTCCCTTGTTTGTTTTTCTTTATTTATTAATTAAAATCCAAATAAAATGAAAAAAACGCAATTTACATAATAGAATGCAGAACGAACTAATTATCGCCCGTAAACAAGCAATATAGTAAGTCGTACAATATTAAGTCCTCGTCAAATAGCGCGATCAATTTTGTGATAAACCGTACTTAGATCTTTAACGCCTTTTTGAAAAATCTGCATTTAATTATTATTTACTTCTTCTTGTGGACAAGATAATCTTGAAATTGATTCATTGAAATAATTTTTTTTTTTTTTACAAAGAAATAAACAGGTCTGAATTCTTACATAACTAGTTAGTCGACAAATATACATGGACACGGCATGATTTTCGGGAGTTTTTATTATCTGTGTTTATCTCTTGAGCCTATTTGTAATGAATTAATTTTAAATTTCTGCAAATAAAAAAGTTGAATAATTGGCAAGTTTATCAGACATTGAATCATTGGAAACATAAGGATAAAATTTGTAATTATAATTAAAGTCATTCCATACTGCCATTTTTGTTCAATCGCATCCCCCTTTCTGCATATCATGATATCCAATTCAATCAAATTATACGACCCACATACATGTACATCATCTAATAGAACGAACAAAATCTGGGGGGTTTTTTTGAAATCGGAGAAATACCTTAGAAATAAATATTTTTATTCTAAAATATTACGTTTTGCATATATTTAGTTACAGAAATATCATTTTCCGTTTTTTTCTTCAAAGTCTATGAAATAATTTGGATAATTCTTTGAAATCTTAAATAAGTATTAAGCCGTATTTCGTTTTGAAAATATTGATTCCTAAATATTTTGAACTATTTTGAGTGAAGAATCGTGCGTTTGCGTTTACAATCGTGTAAGATCGTGTAACGTGTAGAATCGTGAACGTGAAAGATCGTTCGTGTAACAGGTTTAATCGTGCGTGAATCGTGCGGAATCGTTCGTGTAACGTGATCGTTCGTGTAAGCTGTCAACAATAACGTTCCAGCCACTGTATTGGTGTCTCGGGCTGA